AAAAAATACTGGAGATAGGGGCTGGGGCTCAGTTGGTAGAGTGCTTGCCTTGCATGCACAAGGTCCTGGGTTCGATCCCCAGCACCATCAAAAAAAAAAAAAAATGCTGGAGATGTAACTCAGTGGTAAAGTGTTCTGCTGGACTCAATCGCGCGTGAACACACACACACACAGAGAAATGGGCAGGGATGGGAGTGACTGAAGGGTAGCCCCTTCACCTCCTTCCTAGACCCTGTGCAAAGCTTGGGACTGGGGRGGAGGAAGGTGCCTTATAAGCCTCTGTGTATGTGCCATGAACCCCTGAAATGGCTCCAGGGCATTTCTGTCTCCTGAGCCTCCTGGGTTTGGGCCCTTGGCCTCACTCAGGACCCCACTCCTTCCCCGGCTCCTTTTGGGAGCTTCTTTGTCCAGACCTACTTCAGGGCTAGCAAAGCTCCACCTGGGGCTCCCACCACCTACAAGCATCTGCCCTGGGTTTCAGTTTTGTCTTGGCTTTCTGAGGAAGGGCTGTTTGCTCAGGGTGGTCCCCAGGTCCCCCTGGGGCCTGGGTTATGCTGGGCCCCTCCCCTCCGCACTGCCTGTTCTCACACACTGTCTCTGCAGTCAGTGCCTGTCAGGGTCCCACTTCCTGTCAGGGTCCCACTTCCTGTCAGGGTGCAGAGCAAGAGGATGAGGTCTGATGGCTGTGGGTGGGAGACCCCAGGGCACAGTGACCCTGCAGCCCCCTGTCCCCGGCTACCTTCCCTAGGCCTGGGCACTGCTGCCACACCACCCCCAGCCTGGCCCGGGCGCCAGCTCCAGTGACTAGCCAGTTCCCTCCTTTCCACTCCAGTGCGAATCAGCTGAAGGAGAAACAGGAATGCTGAGTCAACAGTTGGGGTTCCACTTCCTTTGTCTGTAGGTCTGAACCCCTCCTGAGCGAGAGGAGGAGGGGCGTGGGGAGCAGATGGCTCTGCTGAGATGGGTAGGAGGCTGAAAGTGCAAGAAAGCTCTCAGGGTAGACTCAAGGAGTGGCCTCCTGGCTGATTCCTTGTGGAAGGGGGAGGAGGCAGAAAAGAGTGGCTGTTTTTTGGTTTTTTGAAACTGGGAATTGAATCCAGGGGAGCCTTACCACTGAGCTACATCTCCAGCCCTTTTATATATATATATATATATATATATATATATTTTTTTTTTTTTTTTTTAGAGCGAGACTAAGTTGCTCAGGGCCTCGCTAAATTGCTGAGGCTGGCTTTGAACTTGCAATCCTCCTGCCTCAGCGTCCAAAACCCCTAGGATTACAAGCATTCGTCATCAAACCCAGCCCTTTTTTATAATCTTGAGACAAAGCTTTGCTGAGGCTGACCTCATACTTGGGATCCTCCTGTCTCAACCTCTAGGGTTACAGGTGTGTGTCAGTGGTCCTGAGGATTGAACCCAGGGCCTCTCACACTTGTTAGGCAAGGCGGAGTCAGAAAACAAAGACTTCCCCAGACTTCAGGATATAATGAATGGGCAGGTGTGGGTGGGATAGGGAAACCCAGCGGCCCTCTTGATATTTCTGCGAGGCGAGCATGGTGGGACCTCGGATGGCCTCCTTTTCCCTTCCACGGTGAGGGGTGGCAGGAGAATGCAGACAATGAGGAAGTCATCAGAAGCCTGTTGGAGTGCTGTGCTAACCAGCTGTGCAGCCTTAGGCCCTTGTTCGGTGCTACTGTCACCACTTCTTGTGAAACAGAGACCATGCAAGTGAAAGGATCTGAAGCGGGCCCGCTAGGCACAGAGGAACTTCAGGGAGCCTTCAAGATGGGAGTTTGGGTGCACCCAGAGAGGAAGTGGAGCTCTAGAGATGGGAGGTGACAGAGCTGGAGGCAGTCGGGCCCAGTGCCCACATTCTGTCATCCCAGACCAGCGTTCTGATAGCATAAGGTGCCTTGCAGGCAACAGGACAAGGTCCCAGTCCTAGAGGGCTCCAGCAGCAGCCAGGCCTGCAGACCACGGTGGGGAACAACTCTCCCCACCGCTGACTCTAACCCTGCCTTTCCTACCAAGCTGAGTGAGGCCTGGGTTGCAGTGAGACCTCAGGATGAAGGTGAGGATCTTGCACAGGAAAAGGGAACCAGGATGATTATGCTGAGCAGGTTCCTGTGTCCCCAGTCAGACACCACTAATGCTAGGAGGGGAGGGCATCTCTAAGCTGACTCAATCTTCCCAGAGCCATTACGTCCCTCCTGCCTCGAAGGACCTATGTGACTCGGCCCACTCCTAGATGGGCAGGAGAGCCTCTCACCCCCAGAGCACGTGGAAGTCCTTGCTGTGAGCCAAGTTCATTGTTCCCACTGCCTCGTCCAGCTTTTGGCCCCTTCAGCACCATGGTTGACGGTGATGGCCCTCATTTTCTTCTTCCTGCTCCCTTCTCCCCAGGTGCCCCTTTCATTCCATCTTTTCCTTTAGTTAATGCAGAATGTTTCTGAAAGGCCGCCTGGACCTCTGCGGGTCGCTGGCAGACAGGGGAACTGAGAAACRGAACTTGTAAACTCAGCTGTCCCCATTCCGCAGCACTTCACATTCTGCTCAACATGCAGCTGGGGTGAAGACCTGGCTGGGTCCCTGCCCAGGAGCCAGCAACACTGAAACACCCTCCACAGGACAACTTTGCTGTCCCCACCATGTGCAAGGCTGATCCTTAGACCTCAGCTTCCCAGCTCTGCTTCCTGGTCAACTGCTTRCGCGGCTCTGCCCTGGTCCCCCCAACAGCTTCCAGGACCACATGGACCCACTCCTGACCAGTCCTTCCTCCTCCAGCGCTGTGGCTGATGCTGCCAAGACAGTTTATCCAAGATCAGTCCTATTGCTCCTACCTCTCCCTCACCCGTCTCCTCTTTCCCACTATCAGAACCTCCAGAAGGCCTGCGATRGAGTCTGTTCACCTTCTACACTGCTAGCATTTCTTTGTGACCAGAAAATTACAACCACTAAATAAAATGCCATTTTTGGTAGGACAAAAAAAGCGGCTTTGAAAATATATACATAAGACTTCTTGAGAAATGAAGGTGAGGAGGAACGTAGCTCAGCAGCAGAGCGCTGGCCTAGCATATGTGAGACCACGATTTCAATCCCTAGGACCACCAAAAACAGAGTGGAAGGCAAGAAGCCCCTAAAGAGTGAACTGGTCTGATTCTGCCCATCCCCAAAAGACACTGGGACTTTCTCTTCCCATGTCCCTCCATCCCAGCCCAAAGAACATTTCCTGCCACATCTTGGAGCAGCCCCTAAAATAAGTTAAACTTTTGGGGGGCTGGGGTGTGGCTCAGCGGTAAAGCACTTGCCTCCCATATGTAAGGCACTGGGTTCGACCCTCAACACCACATAAAAGTAAATCAACGAAGATGCTGCTTCCATGTACAACTAAAAATACTAAATAAAATAAAAGAGTTAGACTTCTGAATCCCAGGAGCCTGGCAACTCAAGACAGGAAAGGCCCTACT